GAGTGCATTCTAGTAGGTTGCTATGGGAATAAAATGCTAAACTTGCAAATCAAAATGTGCATACATTAAAACAATGTGGAGAAGCAAGTTTAAATTGGGCCTCTTTTATTGATACTGCATAATGTGCTTTTAAAAGTTGCTGAAGAAACAAAGTAATTCCTCTCTAACTCTTTATACAAGTTTTATATTAAGAAGAAGAAACTCAGAAATTTTTATTTTTACAATATAGTACAAAACCTTTTTATATAGTATTAATCTTTACCATGCAGCTGTCATATATAGACACAGACCTACCATGATTGACCAAACCAAAGCCAGGAAGTCTCCTCCTCAGACAAAGTCCCAATGACATAAGGTCCACAAACCTTATGGGTCCTCCATAAGGTCTCAGAGGTGGAAATATAAATCCTTAGATTTACTTGGAAAGTAGTCTCACTGGTTACAGTCTCACACACACACACACACACACATTTCACTGCAAGAAGATGTTCACATATATCATGGAGTCTGTGCTATAAAGCAGAAATCATCTCTTTGGGGAAAAGAGACATTTGCAATATAATGATGAACAAAAATGGAAACTGATATGGCACTTAACATTTTGGACAACAGTAATTTTTACAGTGTTACATAAGGCATAAGAAATATATTTTATGCATTTTTACAATTTATACATACAACATACAATATTCATCATTATCTCTTATCCTCGGACTTCCAGTCCATCTATCCATGGCATTCTGGGTAGTCTTTTGTCAGCTGCATAATCTATTATTCCACCCATTTTCATCTCACATCTTCCTTTATGTTATCTGCTGCTCATATGTTCATTCCTACTTGTAGATTAAACTGGCTATTATACCCTCTGAGATACTCTTCAAAGCACTTCCACTCATATCTTTTCCATGACTCATCCTTATTTCTTAGTTTCGCTGTCATAGTTACTAATTCGGTGTATTATATCAATTTATTCTGCCATATTACTTTCATGGGTATCTCCTTTTCTTTCCATTATTTTGCATATACCACTCTAGCTGTGGCAGTTGTGTATACAAAGGGTTTGAGTTCCTTTTTCAGAATATCATCACTTGTTATCCCTAATAGAAAGGCCTCAGGTGTTTTGGGAAATGTGATCCTAAGAATCTTTTTTAATTCTGTATGAATCATTTCCCAGGATCCTCTAGCATATTTATATGACCACCACATATAGGTTAGGGTTCCCTCTACCTAGTGGCACTTCCAGCATAGATTTATTTGACCCCTTTCTGTACATTTTTGCAGTTTTCTGGGTTTCACATACCACTGGTACATCATCTTTGGTAAATTTTCCTTGATAAGGTAGCACACAGAGAAGTTCATAGATTTCCCCCATCGTTTTCCCCATGCTGGCATTTCTATATTATAACCAGTATCTATAGCCCATTTAATCATTGTCACATTTATCATTTCGTCTTTAGTCTCCCACTCCAGTAACAGTTTATAAATCTTTGAAATTAGTTTTTCATCCTTTCCTATTACAATTTTTTCAAATTCTGAACTTGTTTCCCCAAATCCCTTTTCTTTATCTTTTAAATAACCTGTTCACCTGGAAGTACTGAAACCAATCCATAGTATAATCTGATACCTCCTTTATAGAGTTTAAAGAGGGAAGGGTCCATCTGAAAAAGAGACAGAAGGTGTAAGAAAGACAATTCAGAAGAGATTTTCCCTTCCTCTCCCCTCCACATCACCAGTCGTGTTCTGTTTCTTAAAAAAAAATAAAAAATGAGGAAGTTTAGCTTCCTCGCTTGACCTTTCAATCAAATCTTCTTTCTGCTGAAAAGTCTTGTGAGAAAAATATGATCCAATGTCGTCCTTTATGTGTCAATACTGGATTCCGTAAAGCCTCTAAGATGTCAAAGCAACTACTCTCCTTCTCTCCTACCAGTAAATAACAGCCAATAAACCTAAAACATTGGAAAAGCACTGACTTAAATAAAGCAAACATACAAAGATGAATATATTCTATTTAATGCCTTTTGCTGCAAGAGCACAAACTGTCTGAAATATTTTTATAAGCCACTGGAAGGGAACAGAATACATACATAAGTGGGACAGCTTTGGTGACTTCACCTCAAAACCTTGCCCAGTGGAAATTATATTTGTGCAAATGCAACAGATATACTAAAATCATAAAGAAATCTTAAAACATCTCAGAATTGGCTCCATCTTGTTTTCATTTTAGTAAATTGATGCCATCTGTCTGTCTCGCTAGACAATGGAGTGTGCTTCTGGGGGTGAAGTCAAACCGCTGTGACCTTCCTGGGGCACAAGCCTGGGCAATGTGTATGGAGGTCCTGGGCTATCTAGACAACAAGGCCCCTCTCTCAGCCTCATTGATAGGGTCCAAAGGAAAGAGGAGCTTTCTACATTTTGTCAGAACAAGATGCTACTGTCATGAATGTCCAGTTTCAATCTGGCTAGAGCATGTCTTAGCAAGGGTGCAATCTGCACATGACTCTATTCCACTTCTGCTTCAATTATTTTGTACAATGCAAAAATGAAAAAGGCAGCAGAAGTCACCTTGTTTCAACATCACATCTTCAGTCATGGGGACAACACGGTCCATGCTAGCTAGCAATGTGGGAGAAAGTGATTCTTCCAAATTCACTCTTACAGAACAAGGACCAAAACACAGCTCTGCTTTGATACTGCAACATTCAGAGAAGTGTGACTAAGTTCTGCAATGAAAGAATGCCTACAAAAATGTATGTACAGTGGTACCTCTGGTTGCAAATGGAATCCGTTCCAGAGGTCCAGCCGCATCTCGAGGAATTCACAACCGGAGAACCGCTTCTGCACATGTGTGTGGCATGCTTTAGCACTTCTGCGCATGCGCATGCAGTGAAACCTGGAAAAATACTTCTGGGTTTAGCGCATTCGCATCCCGAAGTTTAAGTATCCAGAGGGATATGTAAGCAGAGGTACGACTGTATTAGTGAAAATGGCACACACAGATGTGTATATTAGTAAAAATAATGTACCCAGACCCTGAGATCATCATCTGAGGCCCTTCCTCATGTGTCTCCTCCTCGAGAGGTCCGGAGGGTGGCAACACAAGAATGGGCCTTCTCTGCAGTGACTCTCCATCTGTGGAATGCTCTCCCCAGGGAAGTTCGCCAGGCATCTTCATTATACAGCTTTAGGCGTCAGGCAAAAATGTTCCATTTTAACCAGATCTTTGGTTAATCTGATCAACAACCTATACCCCTTTTAAATGTGATTCTTTTTTTGCGGGGGGTATTATTGATTTTATTTTGATTTTATATATTGTGATCTTTTCGTGAACTGCCCTGAAACCTCCAGGTATAAGGTGGTATATAAATAACAACAACAACAATTAATAATCATAATACAAAATGCAGTCTGTTAGGGGAAGGAACATAAGAAGAGCCTGCTGGATCCACCTGGTCCAGCATCCTGTTCTCACAGTGGCCAACCAGATGCCCATGGAAAGCACACAAGCAGCACCTGAGTACAAGAAGGTTCTCCTCTCCTGTGGTTTCCAGTAACTAGTAAGCATAGTGCCTCTGACAATGGGGGGTGGGAATATAGTCATTGGGTTTAGTAGCCATTGATAGTTTTATTGGTTGAAATAATAAGAGTGGCAAAAGAGTGAACACAAATGTGCATATTGCTAGAAATGCCCATGAATATTCATGCAAATTCCAAGTCATTGTCAATAGGAACTGAGAAGGTAGAGCAAACAGTTTCTTGTGCTTTGTGTACTTTTGGGTGGGTAGTTACTGGGACCTTTCACAGGTGCAATAGGAGGTGGACATGGGCATGATGTAAGGCCAGCTTATTGACTTACAAAGGATCTTCAGGCTGACTGTGTGAGTCATCCAAAGCAATTCCTAAAAGAGAGTGACAGAAGCTTTGAGAGGAATCTACTCTTATCCCCAGAGGGCTAGAGGATGAAGGGGAGCCAAGCTCTACTTGGGACATCACAACAGAGGAATCAGACATTAGCATCTGCCAATGATGCGGCAAGGTGGCTCAGCCCAGAGGTGTAAATGTGAGCATTGATTTTCTGCCAAGCTGGATTAACTAAGAGAGATACATCCCCTAGCATAATGGGGGGAAAGGGTACTTCTGATATGACTGCTTTGTTTTGCTTTTATGGTCTCCTTGGACACAGAATTCTTAAAGAGATAGGAAGCTTGAAGTTTTGGCTTCTTCCACATTCGGCCACACCACAATGCCATGGGCTCCCATCCCCAAGCTAATCAACATTAGGCCAAGTAGGCTGCAGGCAGGAATAGGGAACGAACCAGTGGGGTGTAGTTGTTACAGCATGAGTAGCTGGTGTGGAGCCCTTCCAATGGTTCTAGACTACAACTTCCATCGTCTCTGATGAATGCTGAGGCTAGCTGCAGGGTACAAAGTTTCTTTGGAGTAAATATTTGTGGGCAAGCATGGGGGGGGCATGTTGGCGACATCCAAGCAGGTAGGAGGGCATTCCACACAATATTGGCCCTACTGACCACATCTTAAAATGGGGTTTCAGAGTTTTTAGGGGTTTTTGAATGTTTTATGTAGTTTTTATGTAGTTTTATGCAGTTTTTATGTAGTTTTATGTAGTTTTTATGTAGTTTTATGTAGTTTTTATGTAGTTTTATGTAGTTTTTCAATTTCATTGTTCTGCATAGACAATGACAATAAAGATATCATATATCACATATCGCATATCGTATATCTTCCTATCTCCCAAGACACCTCCGACACTATCAATAGATTGATTGTCAGACATAATGGGATAACTTGCTCATTATAAACTCCCTCACCCTGGCAGTTGTATTCATGCCATCAACCCATGGTCTGTTTTAACTCTGCCACAGAAAAAATAGAAAGTCAGCTTACACTGAGTGAGACCCATTCCTTCATCTAGCCCAGTTATGTCAACAAAGACTGGGAGTGGACTTCCAGGGTTTCAGGCAGTTATCTTTCCCTGATCTCCCTGGAGATGCTAGGGATTGAACCTAGGACATTTTGCATGCAAAGCATGTGTCCTAGCACTGAGCTACAGCTTTCCCCCATGTGTTGTTTCTTGTCCTTCCCCTCCTCAACCCTTTCTATTATTTGATACAAGCACCAACTATGAAAGTTGTAAAGCAACATCCCCAGGAAGCTGTAATTGAAGATCGGCCAGATATTGCAAGACTGCCTTAAGATCAGGCATAAAGCTTTGGTTCACCCAAAATATGTGCAAATATACTTGGTGGGGAAGCATCTTGGATAGCCTGGATGGCTAATCAAGGGGAAGGTAGGACAGTGCAATTGATTACTTCTGTTCTCCTTTGTCAGCTAATGTAGAAAAGCAGCAAATCCAAAGTAGAACTCTCTTTCAAGCTCCACTTGCAACTCAGTGTGTGGTCCTATGCGAGTTTACTTGGAAGTAAACTTCACCAAGTAAAGGGGGGACACGGGGGACGCTGTGGGTTAAACTGCAGAGCCTAGGACTTGCTGATCAGAAGGTCAGCGGTTCGAATCCCCGTGAAGGAGTGAGCTCCCGTTGTTCGGTCCCAGCTTCTGCCAACCTAGCAGTTCGAAAGCACATTAAAGTGCAAGTAGATAAATAGGTACCGCTCCAGCGGGAAGGTAAATGGTGTTTCCGTGTGCTGCTCTGGTTTGCCAGAAGCGGCTTAGTCATGCTGGCCACATGACCCGGAGTACACCGGCTCCCTCGGCCAATAAAGCGAGATGAGCGCCGCAACCCCAGAGTCGGTCATGACTGGACCTAATCGTCAGGGGTCCCTTTACCTTTACCTTTAAACTTCACCAATAATACCAAAGACTGCAGCCTTAGTCCCAGAGTCACTCTAAACACATTTTCTCAGAACCAAGGCCCAGTAATTGCAAACTCAACTGGATTTACTTCATTGATTAGGGATTTACATACTTTCCTAGGAGTAAGCCTTATGGCATGCAGTGGTACCTCTGAGTAGGCAAATATAGAATTGAACTGTGGATCACTGAGTAACTAATCTGAGACCAAAAGTTTATAGTAGATGCATGAGATGACTGCCATGCGATAGTCTCTGTATTGTTGCTTGATTTTAAATCTTAGCATAAAATGAGGAGCAGAAGGTGGCTGTTGTATCCAGATGGAAGACATTTCAGTGACAAGTGGGAGTATTTATATCAGCCTGAAATCAGTCTGTCTCTTCCTTTTCGGGTTAGTGATTCTCTTCCTTTGGTTTATATAATAATGTTTCTTTTAAAAACAATTCTACAAAGGAGAGCCTGGAAACCAACTGAGAAAACTAAATTTTAACTCATGTCCACCGATACCAAATGTTCATTCTGTTACTTAAATGCTTGATGGTCCCTTTTTTCATCAGCAGAAACAAAAGAACAAATGAAAAAGACCCCAGGTAATGAGAATTGAAGCTTATGTCAAAGGTGTGGAAAATCAAATTAAATGTCAAACGAAAAGCAACTGGGTTTGGATGAAAAGAGATGATGAACCTGAACTAAACAGATGACCTTAAAATGTGGAATTTTTTTTTAACCTTAGAAAGGAGGAGGATTTTCTGAAAAATTGGATCAGTCAGTTCTATATTTCAAATATATAGTGGGGTCTTTTCAAGCATAGTGGAATAGGAACCTATAAGAACCCCAATAATTAATTTATGCACAGTTAGGTTGGCCATGAGACTGGGGGCTTCATGCTTTTCTCCCAGAGTGCATAAGATCAAGTGTGTGGGAAGCCTCTTTATGCTGGCACAATGTAGCAACAGATTTTTGTGCCATCCCAAGGTCTATTTAAATGCCAGCCTGTCACTTGGGTCTTTCCTCTGACTCAACACAGCATTCCCATGTGGTGGCATTTATATTGGGGTGTGTGGATCAAGGGTAGGGCATCCTTTACTGAGCATTGGTACAATGCACAACCTCTTTTACTTAAAAGAAAATGTTTAGGAAATTGTTCTAGCTCTTTCAGTAAGGATACATTGTGGGGGGAAGTTTAGCTTTTTTTAGTGCTCACTGGAAGGGCAGATCCTGAAGCTGAGGCTCCAATACTTTGGCCACCTCATGAGAAGAGAAGACTCCCTGGAAAAGACCCTGATGCTGGGAAAGATTGAGGGCACAAGCAGAAGGGGACGGCAGAGTACGAGATGGTTAGACAGTGTTCTCAAAGCTACTAACATGAGTTTGACCAAACTGCGGGAGGCAGTGGAAGACAGGAGTGCCTGGCGTGCTCTGGTCCATGGAGTCATAAAGAGTCGGACACGACTGAACGACTAAACAACAACAAAGTGCCTTTGAGCAATTAACAGGGATGCGGGTAGCGCTGTGGTCTAAACACTTGGACTTGCTGATCGGAAGGTCAGTGGTTTGAATCCATGTGACGGGATGAGCTCTGTTCCAGCTCCTGCCAACCTAGCAGTTCGAAAGCATGTCACTGCAAGTAGATAAATAGGTACTGCTGTCTCGGGAAGGTAAACAACGTTTCTGTGTGCTCTGGTTTCCATCATGGTGTTCCATTGTACCAGAAGCAGTTTAGTCACGCTGGCCACATGACCCGGAAAGCTGTCTGTGGACAAACCTCATCTCCCTTGGCCTGAAAGCAAGATGAGAGACACAACCCCATAGTTGTCTTTGACAGGATGTAATCCCTGACCATAGACCATACTGTCTGGGGCTGATGGGAATTGAAGTCTAGAACAGCTGGAAGATCATCTTGGATCTACAGGCATATTTTTAGTAGAAAAACACATAGAAGCTTTGGAGTACACCCCCCCAAAAACACTGGGATGGTACAAGGGAAAGGGATTAAACTCCCTCGCCTCTCCCACACTGTGGCCCCAATCAGCATATCAACTTTCCTCCTGCAGCTACTCTTTGCAAAAACTTTAAAGTGATGGAGAAGCATTCAAGCACCTCTGCAATAACATTAAGTTTGGCTCTAAGGGAATATGTACAAACCTGACAGCAGAAAATCTGCATCTAAGGTCTTGTGGCGTGGATGTCCCTATTTTCATCAGAGGAATGCTGGAGGGTATGATACAGAGTGCTTCCAGACACTTGATTATTATGGGATTGGTGCTGCTTATGGATGGAATTTTTTGCAAAGTTGGGTTGCTTGCTTTTTTGATAGTTTTCGCATGACGTCATCAGCATCAAAATGCCTGCCTGCAATTTTCTCTGTTCAATCAGGAGTTAGCCTTTTTTGTGGAAAATCTGATGCTAAGAAGAAGAAAAACTGCTTCCATGTACTTGTTTGTGATATCTGAATTATCTGTGTGCTGTATTAAGACCCCATCTGGAAGCATCCCTATGCTAATTTCTTCTCAGTAAATTAGGTATATTAGGAACAGCAGGATGCATTCTGACTATTCAGTGGAAATGAAAGCTTCCGCAGATGATTTTTAGACATACAACAGTCACTTATTTGTGCCAGTTGTCAGATTCCAACTGACCTGCTGACTTCAATTAGTCAATTGCATCTGACTAAATATTTTGCATAGCTACCCTCCTTTTCCACTTTGTGCACACACTTCAGCTGATGCAAGCAAAGCCAGAGATCATTTAAATGAAATATTCACTTTGTTTTAAGTACAGTATATGGTTCTGGATCATTCTGTTACATAAGAACTGGGCTTATTATTTAAATACTAGTATGGGAAACTTGACAGGATTTCTGTAGGTTTGTTCAATGAAATTGCCATAAACCTCAGCTCAAAAGAGAGCTTGGATAAACTGAGGCAATTGGATTTAAGATTATGTATATAGGCATCAAGGTACCCTTTGCAGCAAAAGAAGAAAATAAAGTTGTGGCATCACAACTTCAAGCAGTTATGCAAATCCACATGCGCATCCATGCACATATGTGTTGAAATAAGCTAAGAATCATTTGTTATTATATTGATTGTGTGATTTCATTATAGTAGACTAAGAATAAATTTGTTTATTCTTCAGGAAATGAAGAAATGTCTTGGGGAGAAATAGATTGGTTAACTGGGCATAATGCTAAATCAAACTGGAGATAGCCTGCTGTCATATAGTCTGGCGTCATTTTTAAGCAGAGGTTGGATGGCCATCTGTCATGGATGCTTTAGCTGAGATTCCTGCAATGCAGGGGGTTGGACTAGATGACCCTTGGGGTCCCTTCCAACTTTATGATTCTATATATTGATATCAGGCAGGAGCCTACTACTAAAAGCACTTTTGTTTAGGCAAGCCTACCCAGATACCTAGGATGCTGATGTGTTTGTTAGTTTATTGATGGTTTTAATGTTTTAAATAGTGTTCAGGGAAGTTTTAACATTTAACGCTGTATTGTTTTTAATACTTAATTGGGAGCCGCCCAGAGTGGCTGGGGAAACTCAGCCAGATGGGCGGGGTATAAATAATAAATTCTTCTTCTTCTTCTTCTTCTTCTTCTTCTTCTTCTTCTTCTTCTTCTTCTGTTTTATTCTTTTTGTAAACCACTTTGAGGTATTCTTAAAACCAAGCAATATATAAATTTTATGAAATAAATAAATACAGAGAACATCTGAGCCATCCTCAGTCGGGAATAAAATACTAGCTATCCAGCCAACCAGCAGCATTCCTGTTGAGTTTATTGTTATAAACAAAGTGGCCAAGACCGGAGCCCACTAGAATGGGTCAAAATGGGCAGGGGAGGGGGGAATCAAGCAACAAAACATGTCCCTCCCTGGGACTTTCCCTGGGGAATTTTACTTCTGTTTCAGTTTCAGTAACAGGTGGCTAATTCTGGTAACATATCAAAAATCAGGGGTGCCAACTTGAATAAAATATTGTGGGGTCCCAGGTAAGCCCCGCCACACATAATTGATCAAATGATGCAGTGCATACACACTATTTGAATGGGAATGCCCATCAACTTTGTGGGGACCTAGCCCCCTCAAATATTTTATTTGGGGGGGCGAAGCCCCCACGACCCCTAGGAGTTGGCACCTACGTCAAAAGTTGTCCCCTTTACTATTCCATGTAACACAACAGGCACTGCTTGGACCTTCTGAAGAGTACCACTGAATATATTTGAAAACATTCCATTAAACAGGGCCAGTCCAAGAAATTTTGGCACCTGAGTCAAACCACAAAATGGCACCACCCTCTCTGCCAGGGAAGCAAGGGTGAGTGAAGCTGCACATCAGAAACAAAGGGGGGGGGATAAAGATCTACATCAGTATTGGCTGCCCCTGTGGACTCTGCTGCCTGAGGCTGTTGCCTCACCTTGTCTCCTGAATGGGCTGGTCCTGGCATTTAACATTGGAATTTGCCAATGTTAAAGGTTCTGGAACTATTTTTTAAATTTTCATTAACTAAAATATCTCTCCATAATTTATTAGTATAATCTTCTCTTTTTCTTCCTTAATAGGATATTGTACATACTTCTTTGGGGCAAAAACCCTTAGTTTGCTTATCTGATTATTATTTTTCTTTAAGGACCTTTTTTTAAAAATAAATTTTATTCAAAATTATAACAAAACATATTTTCCAAAAACATATCCTTATTTCCCCCCCATTTTCCCTCCCCCCATAAAACCCATCCCCCCACCCCCCGACTTCCCTCAGTTCCAGTCTTTGGTTTCTCCAATAATGCTATTTTCTGCATGTTACAGAGTTGTATAGATCCTCCAACTGTTTAGCTTATTATTATCAGTAAAAAAATTGTGAATGTTTATTCAAAACCTGCCAAGGAGTCCAGTTCGCTTTGTTGCATCTTCAAATACTTTGTGAAAGGTTCCCTTTCATTCTTAAAGTCACAGTTATCCTTATTTTGTAGTTTATGTGTCAGTTTGCCAATTCTGCATAGTCCATCAATTTTTCTTGCCATGATTCTTTAGTCGGAGTTTCTTCAGTCTTCCATCCTTGTGCTACCAGAACTCTCACGGCCGTTGTCGCATACATGAAGATGTTTTTCAACTTTTTTGGCAGGTCTTTCCCTACAATCCTGGCTGTAAAAGGTATATTCTCTATCAAACATGTGTCTCACTCTCCAGATATCTATCAGCTTTAAATTTTGAGTCATGTCAAAAAAAGCTTTTGGCAATTTACCTTCTTTGGTCTCTTTTTTCCTGGCTGATCTGTCTTTGTCTAAAGTTGGAACTCCATTTAAGTCTCCCATTAAAATGATCTTTTAATCTGCAAATTCAAGGATCTAGCTGCTTTTACAGGGGCTGTTTACTTCTCCTACATTTTATTAACAAATAATGATTGAGAAATATATTCAAATTTCCGGTGGTGATGTTTTAGCAAAAGCACATCAATTTTTCAATAAAAATTACTAAGAAGATTAGCCTCATCATTTAAACGTTTACCTTTTAACTGGCTCCTGCTGAAGGAATTTTTAAAATCTAAAAGATTTTGGAAACTTTATCAAAGCTGTAGTGCTTAAAATGGATGTTTTAACTTACACTTTGATTGCTGTGGCTCCATGGTAGAGCATCTTTATTTTGCATGCAGAAGGTCCCAGGTTCAGATTCTGGCTGGACAAGTGTCCTGGTTTGAAACATTGGTTAGCCACTGCCAGTCAGTGTAATACTGAGCTAGGTGGACCAATGGTCTGACTCCATATAAGGCAACTTCCTGCATTCCTAATGCTTGTTTTTGTGATTTATATTGTAACAGCCATTGACTGCAAACAATGCAAATCTGACTAAACTGTATTTAGTATAGCGTATTTGGGGAACACTTCAATTTCTTCCCAAGAGGGTGGGGGGAAGCTTAGAAAACCCAGGCCCATTCCAATTTGCGATGGTAGCCAAGTGTGGTAGCCAAACCTCAATACCTGGCTTTTAATCTCTTAGAAGATCTTGTCTTCTCATTTCCTGAATAGACTAGCAAACCTTTCCAGTTAGCATAATCATTAAGAGCATTTCAAGCCTCATAAGCGAAAGGAAACACTAAAAGCAGCTGGTGTTTTCAGAAGTAGTTTAGCGTCTATTTTTCTGAGCCGTACGGGCTTTTCCTGGGACATCATTTCCAGAAGGTTAACCTACAGTAAAATGTATTGATTCTGTTTTATTTTCCTCATTACCATGTGTGAACTGTGTGCTTGTGCAGCATTCGTTTTTTGCAAAGTGCATCCATATCCTTCTCTCTCTTCCTTATTTGTCCCTGAGGTCCACTTCCCTTCTTTCCCTTTATGTAATAACTGCAATGCATCAGCTTTATTTATTTATTTCTAAAAAATATTTATCTACCACTGTATCATAAAAAATATATCACCGAGACTCACAACACTATAAAAACAAAACAAAAAAAGAACAATAAAATCATAAGTTAAGAACATATTAAATGCAAACACAAAGGCGGCTGAGCTGAGCACAGACCTGTTGGTCTTCCTATCTTACAAATCTGAATGTTCTTCAGAATAAGAAACAAATAAACCCTCTTTCTTCCTCAAGCCTTCTTGAGATTTTATATTTCTGAGAGCATCTGCATTCAAATGCTACAAATCCATCCTCTGTGATGGATGGACCATCCTCCATAAATTTTAAAGCCATCCAAGTTTATGGCCACCAAAACATATTCAGATACAAATTACATAGTGTGCAATGTGAAGAAGTACCTCCTATTGTCTAACCTGATTCAATACCAACTCCTCTTTCTATAAGGCGAAAATAGAATCTTGTTCTTGCTGCGGCTACAGGTTCTTCACCTAATGGTCTTTTTGACAAGGACTCGCTGTCATTATTTTCTGTGGGTTTGTGCCAAATGGAAACGACTTACGGTAATCAAAGCTTTCCCTTACAGCAACTACCAAGTCAGAACATGCTGTGTGCATGCCTTTTCACCGATTGTTCTCCGTGTCCTTTTATCATGACGCCAGACAACCTCTCCAGCCTCCTTAGTCTCATGGTGTTGTGTTCCAGGATGATGGTCATAATTCTTATTTACTCAGCCTGAATGATAGCAAGATAGCACACACCCAAACCTCTGCTACAGAAAGGCTATCTGTCTGCCCTCGAAACTCCCAAGATCCACATCCTTTGGAGGAATACCTCTTACTTAACCATGCTTTGAACCCTCCTTTAGTAATTTTGGAATTTGCCATCCAACACTGATGAAGATTTTTGCTGGCCTGGATTGAGCATAAAGAAGCATATGTGAATGTGAAGAAGCTACTCAATTAAATAAAATGTAAAAATTACTTCTTTATTTTTTGCCTAACCCTCTTTTGCCTCTGGCCTACCCCCAAATTGACACATGGCTCCTGGAAGGTTGCCCAGAAGAAAATGTGGCACTTCAGGTAAAATGTTTCCCTTTCTCTGGTGGAAAACCTTGTGTGAATATAGCAGGGCTCTTCTAATGTTTAATGGCAAAGGATTTCTTTTTTATAAGACAACGGCCAAAATTATTGGGGGTTTTCTTGGTAAGGAGTGCTATTCAGTTTGGTTACTGCTGTTCTAGGGGCATTTAACTTTTTTTTACAATTTACATGAAATATTTCTCCCTCTCTTTGTACCAAGAGTACCCTGCTTTAAGAATAGGGTTTACATTCCACCTAAAGTAGATATTTATTGGAGACCATTGAGCTACGTTTAATGTTACATACCCATTAAAAAAGAAAGCTAATAGCAGAAAAAAGTTACCACTCTTACTGGAATGTTGTAAGGATTAATGGAGAGTATAACAAATAATTATTACACCCAGGTCACAAAAGATGAACTGAAATCCGACTATTACAAGATAAAGATAAAGGGACCCCTGACCGTTAGGTCCAGTCACGGACGACTCTGGGGTTGCGGCGCTCATCTAGCTTTATTGGCCAAGGGAGGCGGAGTACAGCTTCCGGGTCATGTGGCCAGCATGACTAAGCCGCTTCTGGCGAACCAGAGCAGCGCACAGAAACACTGTTTACCTTCCTGCCAGAACAGTACCTATTTATCTACTTGCACTTTGAGGTGCTTTCGAACTGCTAGGTTGGCAGGAGCAGGGACTGAGCAACGGGAGCTCACCCCATCTCAGGGATTCGAACTGCGACCTTCTGATCGGCAAGCCCTAGGCTCTGTGGTTTAACCCACAGCGCCACCCGCATCCCAACATAACAAGATAGCCAGTATTTTACCTGTTCAGGTAAAAATCATAATAGAATTTTAGCTCAAGGTTAATTATACTAAAAAAATTGTTCAAAATGTCTTGGCAGCTTGCTGTCAAAGATTTAGAGGAACTATTTTTGTGCAAACACATTTCCATTATATGGACCCTGAGCAATGAAAACAAATAATTTTGATTAGATTGTCCCATCATCTTTCATGTAACTCTTCCATATCTTTTTCTTAGTGGGAGTGCTGTGAAAAACCTGCAGCCAGCCTTCAGGATTTCAGCTTATCTTGTAACACTTCTTCCAGGATATTGTCCATATTCTGAAGTAAATTCCACAATGTTGGTCAGACCCCACCCAGAGTCTTGTGTACAGTTCTGGGCACCACAGTTTAAGAAGGCTATTGACAAGCTGGAACATGCATGGAGGAAAGTGACCAATATGATAAAGGGTTTTGTAAACCAAGCCTTATGAGGAATGGTTGAGGGAGCTGGGTGTGTTTAGCTGGGGGAAAAGCAGACTTGGGAGATGAGATGATGGTCATCTTCAAATATCTGAAGGGCTGTCATATGGAAAATGGATCAAGCTTGTTTTCTGTTGCTACAGAGGGTAGGACCCAATTTGAATTGATTCAAATTAAAAGAAAGGAGATTCCAAAAAAAAAGTTTCCGGTGGTAAGAGCTGTTTGGACGTGGAATGGACTACCACAGAAGTTGGCAGAATCTCCCTGACTGAAGGTATGACCCTTGGGATCCCTAACAACCCAACATTACTGTGATTATGCATTCAACAGGATTTGCTCTCTAATAGGTATTTTTAGTTTTGTCATTCAAGTTTCTTTTCTCTTTGGAAAATGTCTGCTTTATTTTCTTAGTTACTTGGTTAGATCCTACCCTCCCTCCAAGAAGCTCAAGGTAGCATAATGATTCTTCCCCTCCTCATTTTCTCCTGACAACAACTCAGTGAGAGAAGTTAGGCTAAGAAACAGCAACTGGCCAAGGTCACTCAATGAGTGAAGATTTGAACCCTGGTCTCTGAGGTCCAACACTCTACCCACTACACCACATGAACACACAACAAAGCACCTGTGTACACAACACATTCACCATTTACATGACACCAGCTATCAAAACAGCCACTGGACAAACACTTATGGTTTAATTTGATGTAGCAATAGGGAAGAATCAACTAAGTCAATGTTTTCCTTGAGAAAACAAGCATTTGTGTAGTTTCTCCAGCAAAGTCGTGTGGGGTTTAAGTGGCTACATCTTTAGCAGCAGAATTATTTTCTCTTGATTAATGGCATACGTTTTCAATGGCATCTGCCTGCTTTAATCCCAGGAGATCCACTACAGTTAAGCATCACTGACTACTGACATTTACAGTTCCTTGGAGACTGATATTTCTAATAAAATCAAAATCAAGGCAAAATAGGTAATTATAATGTTTACACATCCAGAGTGTTTGACCTCAATAACACACTAAACAGAAAACTGGCAGAGTTTCAGATAAAATTAGCAAACGTATATTGGGAAACAAATAATGCCCCCATTAATCTGCCTTGGTAACAAAGTGTCCTTACTTACTAACCATGCAGACTTTTATTTGTATCTTTTAAAATTACAGTTGAAACTTATAGTCATTAAAGAAGCTTAATTCTTTACAGCTGCTTTCTGGAACACTAACACTTCAAGAGATGACTGTCTGGTGCTGCAAACTGGACTTTGAATTGATGTGGAATGCCCTCCCATCGGATGTCAAGGAAATAAACAACTATCTGACTTTTAGAAGACATCTGAAGTTCTTAATGTTTGATGTTTTATCCTGTTTTTAATATTTTTGGGGGAGCCGCTGAGAGTGGCTAGGGAAACCCAGCCAGATGGGCAGGGTATAAAAGATAAATTGTTGTTGTTGTTGTTGGGCTTAATCCAGGTCTACAATGGCACTAGACTTTCAGCCACTGAGATGTCAACGCCGCACCAAATTATTATGTCTATCCTACTTTCAAGACAAAACACAACACTGATGAAATATTGGCAATATTTTTATATATATAGTTTCTAGCCTTATGCATTTTGCAGTAATATCGTCGGCCAGGTTTATTCACCCTTGGTCTTTTTAAGACCAAGACTTTTCATTTCAAGGTTCTGCAAAAAAATAAAATAAAAAATAAAATAAAAATTATAGGAATGCTCCAAGCAGGATAAATGATCATGTCTCACTTTTAAGAAGGATAATGCATTGTACTTTGCTTCAAGAAGAGCTACATGTGGTGCTATGGACTTTGTCAACACTACTCCTTTTTGTCATTGGTGTCTTTCAACACTCCTTGCTTAAATGAAGGGGGGGATCTAACATTGCTCAGCTAAAATATACACAGCTGTGCCTTTTACTGTTTGAAGAACTGTCTTTTCTGGGTTCAGCCAATAATGCAAACTGTGCCCGAC